TGGTGTCGAATAAATCTTATATTTGTACAGTAAACACTGATGCTACAAACAAAAGAAATGAAAGAAAGTAAATAACAATGTCAGGAGCTCTTATTACTAGTCACAATAATTAAAATAGATTCCCAAGCTGAAATGTTTTTGCCTTCATCCACTTATGTTCAAACAATATTTCATTGTTTTGCGCACTTACTCTCCGAAAAATTACTGAATCTTTTTTCAAAACAGTGTGAGTGGTGTGAACACGGGTGTTTCGAGACTTGTATTTAACTTCACTCACGGTCAGACCCATGCCTGATTTTAATATAGACAAAATTTGTTTGAATCACATATTGATGATTATTATATTATGCAAATAGTCATGTTAAATCTTCATTTATAATTTGTTTTACATAAAAATAATATTTGTCTTATATATGTGCCGCCATCATACGAACGTTAGTCTAAAATTTTCCAGCTGTATCATTATCGATCATTTATCTGTTAGATTTTAAGAATGCCCATATAACTATTTTAATCATCATTGCAGAAGAGAATGTATTCATGATATATTAGAACGAATATCTGCATGTGAATTTTAGAAAAATCGAGCTTTTCAATCAGTTATCTATCTTATTTTTTAATCGATGATAATAGAATTATCCATTTATGAATACTGTTTTATATTTTCTAGGATGATCCAGTTAATTTGAAATTTTTTCTCCTTAATCATATATTCTCGACTAACTGATATATATGATACTAACATTCTATTGATGGTACTAAAATTTATAATAAATTTCTTATTCACATACCATGACTTCACACATTTAATTTTGGCATTTGTACCTTATTTAGTTTGTCATTTATCTAAAGGCGATATTCAACGAACTCCAATTATTATTATCATCCATCAATAAGTGGTTTTTATTGAAAAGTATGATTATAGTAGTGCCCAGTGATGCATCTACTGGCCCAGTAGATGCATCTAAGTTTCATTTTTCGAGTGGGCGGTTGAAACTTTTGTAGGGGCTGCTGACCAAAAAATTTTTTGCTATACAGCAAACGCACACCAAGATTCTTATTTATTTTTTTCATATATACCATCACACTGCTTCTGTTAGCAATACAATATGAGAATACACTTTGAAAAGAAAACACATTGAGGAGAAAACACATTGAGAAGAAAAATATTGAGAGGAAAACAATAAATCTATATTAAACCGAAATTTTCCGTAATTTTTTACTTTTCCAACAGTCAATAATTAAATTTTTTATATCATTATCTAAATCAGCTGGTCCTTCTATTGATATTCTCATTAATTGTTCCAAATGTTCTGTTGTTAAGCGATTTCGTAAACCAGTTAATATTCGATTCATTCTACTAAAATCGCGCTCCATGGTTGCTGTACTAATTGGTGCGCATAAAAAAATTTCAGCAGCTAATGATAATTGTGGGTATATGTCTCTCATCATTCCTTTTTTAACTAAATTGATACAGTGTTGTCGTTGTGTTAAATTTGTAGATGTTTGTTGCTTTTGTGCAAATAAATATTTGCGAAATACTTTCCATTCGGTCAGTAAGTCATCATTAAAATCATTAGGGTATTGTTGTTTAATCGTATTAATCTCTTGTATACCATATTCTGGTTCATTAGTTACTTCCGACACATCAAATATACGAAAACAATTGAGCAATTTTAATACATTTGATTTAAATCGAGCGCTTATGAGTGTGGGTGGGGTGTGGGTGGGGTGTGGGTGTGGGTGTGGGTGGGTGGGTGTGGGTGTGAGTGTGGGTGTGAGGCAATAAAGATAACAACACCCACACCCGCACCCACACCCACACACCCGCACCCACACCCTCCCACACCCACACTCACCCCACACACCCACCCACACCCACACTCACACCACACCCATACCCACACCCCACACCCTACACCCCACCCACACCCACCCACCCCATCCACTCCACACCCACACCCATCGTTAAGAATATACCCCAATTCGGGTGGTATTGGCCATTTATCGATTCAAATATATATTATTAGTTGGGATGTTTTTATATATTCAGATAGAGAATAAAATTCTGGGTCAAATGAATCTCTTTTTGTCAGATTCTGATTGAAATTTGATGGACTTCCAGGTCAAAAACCGGTTTTCCGGGGTCCCGGAAAGTGCTCTAGATGTTTCTTATTATTCGACTAATCATTTATAAAAATGCTGTATTTGTAATCAGGACACATAGCTCTATCGAACTAGAAGTATCTCTAGTAAAATTGGAGCAAAAAGTTTCTTCGATCCGTCAGAGGCATCTTACGTATGATCACATTAGTTCTGATAAAGTGGCAGATAAACTAGTAAAAACTAATTGACAATGATTGTTGATTCTCAGAATAGTAATATTAGGTTCACATTCGTTGGTAATCCAACTCCACACTAGGACAAAACTTCTTTTTGAATATAAATTAATATTTTGGCAGCATAAACACGGAATAAATGGATGTTCCAAGAGACTTTAGGCAAGATGAATGGACAGCAAAAAATAGCTTATTCGATGGAGTTTCTCATGCTGATTATGAATTGAAAGTTGAAATTTGGATTTAGAAGACATTAAAAGGATTGCTGTCTAAGATACTGGAAAAGACCATATTTGGAGTCGAAAAATGAACGAAATATGCGTATATCACTAGTTCGTTGATTTCTCCCTTATATAGTATTGAGTGATTGACATTTTGGTAGGCAAAATGATCAGTACAAAAAGCTGTATCCAATGATACTATTTGAAGACCAAGCAGAGATATTACTTCTGTATTTCGTGGTGGGAACCCCACGGAATTACCCATTAACAACAACTACTGGAAGCAGATTTCTGTTATTTTCTGAAGTATTCATTTACTTAAGTATACTATGGTATAATATTTTTTCGTAAGTTTATATATGGTTTTGTAGCTAATTTAAATCTCTATCGAATGGTATATAACAAAGAACCATATATTTAATTTGAATTAAAAAAATGTGCCTTTAACGACCTCAAGCATTTTTTTGCATTTTTTGTAATTCAGGACATGCTCGAAAATTAATTTTTTTTTCTCGAAAATCATCCAAAATGAAGATTCTAATCCGCTCAGTATATGCAAAATTTTATGGCGCATCTTTCTATAATAACATTATAAAAATTACAATGGGTTAAAATCCTGAAATCGCAGGCAAGGTTTCAGAAACCGACTTTTTTTCAGTGAAAATCCACTTTTATGGAAAGTTCGCGTGTTCTCTAGGATTTATCATGCAATCATCCGAAAAAATTTCAGGGTATATACACCTCGGCTTACTCTATCAAATGCCAAATCATCAACTGTAAAATTTTGCTGAAAAAAAAAATTTCAAAATCCAATACTGGTAGAGGGTCTCTAGAGATCTATACCTTGCGAAAGCTGTAACTCCATCAAAGTAGGTCCGTTTGCCGAAAAAATCTCAGGATATATACAGTTTCACTTCCTCTACAATCTGGTAAAAAAATATGTATACCATAGGGGGGTACATCCCCCCCCCTCTTAAGTTCTAGATCGTTCTTGACCCACACCGACACCCATGCTGACACACCCACACCCACATAATGAAATGTTTTCTAACACGATTTCATCTTTTATATTCAATGTTTATTTAATTTTTCTTCGAACTTGAGCAAGATGTTTTTTATATAATTGAAGTTGAAAATCGTTTTGAGTCGATAATAGTTGTTCAATCTGAATAGCTTGTCTATAAGACATGATTGCTTTTCCGTATTCACCTATACTTTCATAAACCTGACCAATATTGTCATGTATAGTCGCTGAAATTGCTTTTTTTCGATGTGATGATCTATCCAAGTTTATTAACGTCTCTTGATATATCTCGAGTGTTTTTAGCTTGTTCCCTATTTTCTTATAGATCTCAGCCATTTTATAACAAATCATGGTCAATTCTGAAAAATTCACCGGAGCAGATTTTGCCAAGATATAACGTGCATATTGATAATGTTCGATTGCTTCTAGATAATATCCCAATTTGTCAAGTACTTTGCCAAGATTTTTATGACTAATAACTAGTTTTGTATTATTTCGAAGCAAATGATCTTCTCGAATTTTCAACACCTTTCGAAATAATTGTAATGCTTCGGAATATTCTTTCATATGGTAATGAATCTCAGCAATATTTTCGTAGCTGGTAGCCAATTTTAAATAATTGACAGGAGTAGATTTTTTATAAATATCTAACTCCTTTTGATAGAATCGTAAAGATTGAGAATAATCACGTAAGTGTTTATAAATTTCTGCCAAATTGCCATATGTAATTACTAAATCCGAATAATTTAAAGGATTAGATTTTTCTTGTATGGTCAGTGCCATTTCATAATATTCTAGTGCTTTGGAATATTCTTTTTTAAATAGATATACTGAACCAATGTCATTGTAAAGTTTAGTCAAATGTAAATAATTCGAGTCGGGTAATGATCGATAGATGTTGAGTACCTTTTCATAGAACACCATTGCTTGGTCGTATTCCTTTTTATTTTCTTTAACTAAACCCATTAGATGATAAAGATGACCAAGTTCTTCTAAATCATCTTCAGATGATTTGTTGATAAGTATTTGGAGAACTTTCTCAGCTTTATCGAACTTCCCCATTGTCAGCAACATTTTACCAAGTCGACTCCATCCTGTTGATCCTTGTGTTGCTTGTCGAATATTTTCAGTAAGTTTCTTTAAATCCTTATCGTTATCACTTGTTAGTGAAAGTTCCACTTGCCACAATTCTGGTTCAAGTTGTATTATTTCTCCGACTCGAAATATCGTATACATAGTAAATAAAAACTCGTTTTCCACTTTGTAATAACTCTCATTATCCAATGAAGCGAATAAAGCCGACTTGAGAGAGACAGGATCAATATTTATATGATAGATAATACCAATCAAGCGAGAATCCTGTCGAGCGCTTTGAGCAAACGTAAGAGCTGTATCCCGATCCATAGTTGTCGATAGAAAATAATGAAACGAATAAAGACCACCTTTCAACTGACGCAGCTGCTGAAAATCTCCGTACGATAGTCCTTGACCTCGATAAAGTGTCAATTTTTTAGATGGTGGTTCGTACAATCGTTCGATTTGTTGATGAAGATCTTGTATAAAGAATCTCGTTTGAATAATAGCATCAATATCTTGTAATCGTAATACTCGATTAATCATGTCATGAATAAAAGATTCTCTAGTGTACCACCACATGGGTGTATGCATATGATAATATCTTTCAAATTCACCGATGATATTCATTCTTCCTAATATGCCTATATTCGTTTTACGACAAAATTGAAATAATTCTTTCTTTGCTTTATCATCAACTTCCATTTGAAGAAATACTTCTTTCAGTAATTGTATATACATGATAGATGAATCATGACGTTGTAAATCTACACTTGTAATACCTATTTTAATAGAATTATTCAATAGGGTCCAGCTTTATAATTGAATTCTTGAATTTAACTGTTCAACTTTTCTATTCAAGTATTCAAAACTCATATTCAGGTATTAAACTGTCAAACTGCTTAACTTTTAGTATATTTGTGTATATTTCTTTGAGACGGATTTAGTATTCCCCTGTCTCCGCACTGTTAGAAAAATTGAACACTGAAACAGTGAGTAGCTGTCTAATTCGACTTCAAAAACGAAAATTCGAAAGTTCACCGGCATCTACATAGTCAAAGCCAAAGCCTATACATTTCGACAATTATAATTGCGATAAAGGCACTCGTGTTAGAACGAATATAATGGTCAAAGATTTAATCTAGGTTTGAATGTAGGTGCGGTTGAAGAAATTACCGACACTTAGTTCACTGTGCACACAGAAATGAGGATTGGTTGTGGCTCCTCTAAAGACGCTAGACTGACATAAAAGGTTGGTTACACAGGCAAAAACACTTCTGCAAAGTAATGAATGTTCAGAGTGATATCGAGCTGTAAGAATTTCATGTATATTCAAACTCGCATTAGGCATCTTATATGAATTGTGTAACTGAATTCTTGAAAATTTGAATAACTTGCAAGTCCATTTTTTCAAGTTTCAAATATTCAATAATTGAATTCAAGTTGAACACATAGGATTATACTGGCCAAAGTTTCTCCCCTTCCGATCTCACTCAGTACAATAATTGTAATTCTAAAAGTAGTTATGTACATAGTTCTCGATGAATGTAGATCATCAGCAAAATCCACGCCGCAATAGCATGAAGTGCAATAGAGTAATAATTTATATGGTCTGTCACCATTGTGGACTTCATGACTCAGAAAGAAAAAGATTTTATGGGTCGAGAGTTCCCTCATTTTGTAGTCCCTGTACTCTGGTTATACATGGTGACAGTGCGATTGAAGCTCATTGAATTGTTGTGGTCGTGTAAGACACAGTTCAATAATTGTTAGACAAATCGACTTCAAACTTGAAAAATGCTCTCTACACTTGCCCATTATTCTCAGAAATATATTGCTTGCTAGAGAAATATTGACACTATAGTGAATATGAAGATATTGTCGTAGTTCTAGATACTCAAATATTCAAGCAATCGATCTCTTATTTTAATGGATTTCTGTCATTATAAAATCATTGTATCGTGTTTTTTAAATACTGAAAAACAATATGTTAAGATAATATCTGGTTTATATACAACAATCAAACTGTGGGCATGGATCTCAATGCGGAATAAGAGAATGTCGACACTCATTCATACTCTCAAAATGACTTTATTATCAATATGTTGAAAAATTATATTATTTTCTCTTCAATGATCTTCAAAACGGGAAAAAAAACCTATGGTAGAATGATAATTCAGTTGCCAAGAGAATCATTTTCTCTTACGTGTTCTTGGTTTACTAAGTCAGTATTACTTAATTCGATGGAAAAAGTAAGTAGTAACGAAGTTAACAAGTTTTTAATGACTATATTTTCTTTCTAAGAGTTGTTTCTCATTAAAACTTAAATGTTTACCTTGTGTTACCATTTTCGACGCACTACTTCAGTAATGTAGAATTTAATAGAGAATAGCAACAGCAAATGCATTTTACTCCTTTCCTTTATATAGAAAAAAAAAACAATGTATTGCTTATCAAAGATAAATATGCACTTAAGCATTAGATATAAAACCTTTTTCTTTCTCTTTAGAAATACAACTAAAAATATCAGACAACTCTATGAAGTACGCAATTTTGTATGGACACACTTTTTACATGACGTATATTAACTTTCAACAAAGAAATTATAGATATCGACCAACCAACCATCGAATATTTCTGATATTTAATCTTTATGTCTATTGGTAATTGCTGTTTCATTAGTTTTCATCCATCACACACGACGTTTTAATACTTATAAAATAACGACCTTTTTTTTAACGTTCTTCTGTCTTTCACTACAGAAAGTCTACTATTCAAAAGTCTTGTCTCTCTTCAGAATATCAATATTTGAATAAATCTTTTTATGACTGCAATGAGGAGTACAAGCATGTTTTTTATTTCACTTTCATTTTTATATTTGCTTTTGTCGAGAAACCATATTCAGATGAATATTTATTATTTTTTTTTTCAGAACATTTTCAGATCATTGTTTCATCGAAGTTAAAACATAATGATGATGATAATATTAAAATAAAACGATTTAATCAAAATCAGTCGTAATAGAAAGTAATATCAAACTCTTGGTTAAAATTTGATTACCTATTACGACTTGCAATAGAAATCTTAAATCTGTTTATTTATCACAAAGAATTTTTGAAAAGACATGCAATGAAACTGATAGTCTCGGTCCTGATCTTAGGATATTTTGGCGGCTTTTTCGATTTATTTTGGTGAAATGCATATCGAAAATATATGAATTTTTATTTTTATTTTAAAAAAAGTTTATAATCATAAAAACATTGCATTATATTAATAAAACCGAGTCTTTTTATTGAATCGATCTCTCTAACTTATTGCGCTGGACAATAAACCATAAAAGAAAAGAAAAATCTGTGGGACCTTTTTTTGCAAATGAGTAGTAATAATTCTGAAACCTATAAATCATTCATACATACGAACCAATGACTAGTTCTAAAACTCCACAACCATGAAAATTCAGTTTATAAGTTGAACTTTTCGAAAACATTCACGATGGATCACACCAACATGGTTGATCACTATGTACAGTAGGCGACAAAAGTTTCCTCCTTAGAGGGTGTGGGGTATAGGTGTGTGGGTGTGGGTGTAGATGTGGGTGTGAGTGTGAGGTATGGGTGTGGGTGTAGGCGTAGGTGTGCGTATTCTATTCTGTTTTCTATCCACATCCACACCCACACCCACACCCCACCCACACCCCACACCCACACCCACCCACACCCACACCCTCACAATCATTATCTATATCACATAATGACGAATCAAATATATGACGAATTACATATGGTAATTCAATGTGAAGTTCTTGAATAATCATAAGAGAAAGTTGAGACACTTAATTGAATACATCTTTCAATTTGATTCAAATCAAAAATTGAGACAAAAGAATGACGAGAAAAAACATTATTATCGATCTATAAAGCAAATCTTTTAAAATCAAGGAGTTTATCTTCATAGATTCTATACTCTAATTGAAATTGTTTATCAAAAATGATAGTCATTTTCAATCAATCTTTTATTTATTTATCAAGAATGGAGAAAAAAAAAGAACAGATATATTTATTTGTGCATTTTCATTCTTGAAGCTGACAAGATTTTATTTTCGCATATATACAAAACTGTTTTTTTAAATATTCTTCAGTACAATCTACATATGGAAAATCAAGAAAAAAGTTCATTATTTTTTAATTAAAATATATTAGAATGTATTAGTATAGTATCGAATAAAACTGATAATCCATCTGACAATTCCTATGATGTCCCAATGAAAAATATTGAAAAAAAAAGGAAGTAAAGGTATTCATCGAAACATGAAAAGCTATCTTACTCATGAAGAACGTTTTCTATAGTCTGATGAATGCGTTCCTACTGACAGAAATACGTTCTGCATCTGAAGAAATGCATTCTTTGCTGTTCCATGCTATTATAGAAAGCTTTTACTTCGATTCAAAATCGTTTTTCATTTGAATGAAAAACAATCTGAACCGTTCCATTGACTGTTGAGATGATTTCCATGCGTTCTTTGTTCGAAATGTAAGGAATGGATTTCTATAACTAATGAACATTTTTCAGACGGTCCTAACATCATTCTTAGAACAAAAAGGAACGTATTCTTTGTCGTTCTTCAAAATACATAATGCTTTTTCATGAATTCAAAAATCAATTTTCAAATCATAGAATGAGTTCGTAGTATCCGTTTCATATGCTCCATGACAACATCTTGTCATATTGAGAATGAATATTGATTAGCTTAAATTACATTGCTTGATGCTCTAAAACCATTACAGTTTTTCTGATCATTATTTTGTCGACTAAAAATTGATAAGCACAAATCTAAGAGTGGTCAATTTACATTTATAAAAATTTATTAAATCAAAAATAAATTTAAAATCAATTAATATTAGAATTCCATCTGTTAGTGGTAACACACACATGCATTGTTTTACTTAAAAGTGGATGATTGTTCTTTATGTCGAAACTGTTTGAATGAATTTCTTAGTATTATTCTTTTTTTTTCGATTCTAGAATTTTTTTAATCTCATCTTGCTTCGCATGTACTGATTTTAATCTTACTTACTTTGTAAGTTTTTTTCAGTGCATTTTTTCCTTTTTGTTTAAACGTATGATTTTTTTTATATATTCTGTCACTATGATCTGTGATCTCGAGAATCTAAGACAAAATACATCGTTGTAATAGCAATAACGATTCATTTTCAATATTAATTTAAATAATCATTACTCAATTTTTATGTGGATGTGGGCGATAACGATATTGAACATTATGATGTTATATGTATCATTTATAGTTGTATTTGTCACTTTTGTTTTTTGTAGTTGTACCATCGAATGTTTTTCCATGTTGAAAATGGTCGCATAAAGACCGAAAATTTTCATAAATAAATAAACATCTACTAAAAAATTAACACTAAGACTCTTAAATCTACATATTATTTTCTCATTTACATGAATCAATAATAAGAACATTTTTGTATAATTAAAAAAAAACACTTTTTTTTATCTAATTCAATCAATCATTGCATGATTCTCACGTCCATGTCGTTTGAAAAAAAAACATTTTAAAAAAAGTTCTATTCATCGTAGAAAAAAAAATATTTTCAATCGTATTAAATCAATGATTCATTGTGTCAAAAAGAACAAATAGTTCCTGCAATAATAGTGTTTGTAAATTTATATTTTAATTGTACTTC